GCGTGTCGCGTGCGTGTCACTTGCGTGCGCAGATGCGTGCGTGTTGCGTGCGTGCGCAGATCCGTGCGTGTCACGTGCGTGCCCTTATAAAACCGTTTTATACCGAAAGGAGTCCGAAGATCGGGCAGTCCGAATGTCGCCCGCGGTACAGTCCGAAACCACATCCCGGACTTGCCGAAATTAGTACCGAAAAGGAGTAAAATCAGCAAGATTCCGGTACAGCCCGAAGCGCGCTGCCCGGGCGCCTTTCGGACTAGTCCGTGCTCCGGACTGCCCGAAATATGTCCGGGTGAGTAGCACAAAAAAAACGAGCGGGATTCGATCCCCTACCTGCCGGTCTTCTGCTCCTTATACCAACGCTCTTTCCAACTGAGCTAAGCTGACGGCTGAGAGAGTATGCCTCAGGAAGGCCTCTTCAGCCACGCGCAGTCACTTCGAGGACGAGTACTATACAGAACGAACGAATCAGCGCATCGTTATGCGGTTTTCGGCTAGCGCTTTTGCATAACACATACGCTCTGTACAGAGCATGGCGAACGAAATTTTGCAAATTAAAATGCCCCTGTGTTTCATTACTTAAAATATCGGAATTAAGTTATTATATGATCCGGCATCAATATGGTGTACTAGCATGCAAATAAAATGTACCTCTGTTCTATATAGTTCGAGAGGCGCTTTTAGTACTGAGGAGATAGTCGTTGCTCAAGCAAGACGTAATGTGTAAAAGGTTGACACATGCATTTCATATTTGACTAATATAGCTGCTTGGTTTCAATATTTTGTCTAAGAAATACAAAAGTCTAGAACGTGCTCGGCCAGCCCGAGACTATGCCGTGTCAACAGAAGATGGCAGTTAGCTCATTCGGACTGTCTTCGGGCTGTCCGGTTCCCACCGGACTTATTTCGGACTGTCTCCGGGCAGTCCGGTTGCGACCGGACTCCTTTCGGACTGCCCTAGCTACCTCGGGCGTAAATCGGGCAGTCCTCGGTCGGACTCGGACTCCCATCGGACTGCCCTGGAATACATCCGGGCCTGTCCGAAGGCAATCGGACAGACTTTGGAACTGCCCAGGACAAGTTTCGGTACAATTTCGTTTCATAAGGGTGTCGCGTGCGTGTCACGTGCATGCGCAGATGCGTGTCACGTGCGTCCGCAGATGCGTGTTGCGTGCGTGTCACGCGCGTGTGCAGATCCGTGCGTGTCACGTGCGTGTCGCGTGCGTGTCACTTGCGTGCGCAGATGCGTGCGTGTTGTGTGCGTGCGTGTCACGCGCGTGCGCACATGCACGCACACAGATACTCGCGCGCGCACGCACACACACAAAAGCACGTAGAAGCCTGGACGCAGAAGCACACAGACACACGAATGCGACAGGTCACAGTAGGCACTATCCCCGAGGGACCAATACGTTT